TTTTCTTGGGGAATGCCACCCTCTAGATCTCAGGGGCTCAATATTCCAAGGTGTGGATATTTTCATAGTGGTATCCCCTGACACACCAATCGATAGTGCCACAAGGAGTCAGAATTAACCCAATGGCAGTTGGCTTAGGGTTTTATTGTTTGGCTGCAATTGTTTTGAATTTTCTTCTACATTTTCTCCCCCTCTGTCCAGAACCTTCGATTGTGATCCTAATCAGAGTGATTACTAGTGGCAGCTGGGCACCATTTAGTTCTTCTGGTCTCAGATTAGTGGAGGTTTGAGTTGCTCTGGTGCAATAATCCTTTGGACTGTATGTTTCCTTGAGTCTTTGATTTTCTTCCCTCATCTGCGCTCTGGATGAGGAGAGACCCATAGTTGGATCTTAGGTGGGTGACACTTATGTTTATTATGACTGGGATAAGATATCATGGAGACAATCCTCTCCCTTTAAAAAGTTACATTGATTTTAATTTTTTTAAATCATTTTATTGGGGGCACTTACACCTCTTATAGCATTCCATACAACTATTATATCAAGCATATTTGTACATGTGTTGCCATCATCATTTTCTAAACATTTACTTTCTATTTTAGCCCTTAGTGTCAGCTCCTCTGTTTTAGCCTTCTTCCCACCCTCCCCCTTCATGATCCCTTGATAAATTATAAATTATTGTTGTTTTCATATCTTACACCGAATGCTGTCTCCCTTCACTCATGGTTTCTGTTGTTCATCCCACCTACCCACCCCGGGGTGGGGGAGAATTGGGTTATGTGTTATCATTGCCATCAGTTCCCCCTTCCTACCCTCCTCCCCACACCTTCCTTCTACCCTCCTGGTATCAATACTCCCATTTCTCTTCCTGAGGGGTTTATCTGACCTGGATTCCATGCATCCTGAGCTCTTATCTGTACCAGTGTACATGCTCTTGTCTAGCCAGAACTGAAAGGCAGGACTGGGGTCTTGATAGTGGGTGGGGGAGTGGGGGATGAGGAAGCCTCAAAGAACCAGAGGAATATTGTGTTTTTCACTGGTGCTATACTGCACCCTGGTTTACTCATCTGTTCCTTACACCCTTCTGTTAGGGGAGCATCTCTTGTCTACAAGTGGGTTTGGGGGGGGTCTCTGCTCCAAACCCCCTCATTCTCAACAATATGGTTTTTTGTTTTGTTTTGTTTTTTAGGGGTCTCCTGGTGCCTGTTACCTGATTCTGTTGAAACCTCATGATCACACAGGCTGGTGTGCTTCTTCTATGTGGGCTTGTTGCTTCTCTGCTAGATGGCCATTTGTTTACCTTCAAGCCTTTAAGACCCCAGACGCTATCACTTTGGATAGCTGGGCACCATCAGCTTTCTTCACATTTGCTTATGCACCCATTTTGATTTCAGTGATCATGTCAAGTGGTGAGCATCACAGAATGCCAGGTTGTTAGAACAAAGCGTTCTTGCATTGAGGGAGGGCTTGAGCAGAGGCCCAAAGTCTGTCAACTTTCCCAATGCATTGTCATATAAGTATATGTACATAAGCCAATACCTCTATTTTTATGAATTAATAGATTTACATAAGTGCACACCTATGTTTTTACCGCTACCCATAGCTTTGTTTCCTAGATCAGTCCTCTGTTCCCTTTTACCTTCCAGCTGCCCCACCATCATGCTCACTCTTCTTCAGCATCTTAATAGTTCCTCTCCAACACCCCCAGGATCTCTCCGTCCTCCTTATTGTTACTCATAATTCCCTAGTTGTTCCCCTGTCTACGGCGTTGTTTGCTCACCACTCCTTTCCCCTGCCTCTTCCTCCCCCCAAGTTCCTCCAGAACTGTCGGTCCGAGGCTTTCTCCTCAGGCTTGCTTCCCATGTCTATCTTATAGGAAAAACAACAATAATAGAGATAAAACAGAAAACAAAAGATTGAATAAAAAATGAAAAAAGAAAACAAAATAGCAAAAAAAAAAAAAAGTGCAGACCCCACAATGATGTGCCAAACCTTGAGGGCAAAGTAACCACATGGAGCAACTCATGAACAGAGAGGTCTACAGGGCCAGCCCCAACAAAGCCAAACTGACACACACACAGCCCACCCTGCCCCCTAGAAATATGTGCTACAGAGGACAACACTAACCCTACAGATTGGGGAGAGGTGCCGGCCAGCCATGCCCAAACAGAAGCAAACCAAGGAAAAAGAGAGAGTGAGGGACTAGACCCCATACTAATACAAGCCCTGAGGACAACGTCCCTGCATGGAGCTGCTAAGGCACAGAGAGGGCTGTAGGGTCGACAACAGCTCAAGACATGAGGTCCCCTCGCTGGAGCATATGGCATCAGAGGACAGTACTGGGGACACACGGCAGGGAGTGAGTCCAGTCTGACCACCCCACAGTGGGGTGAACCAAGAAGGGAACATAACAGATCAGCAATGGAAGCAAAGCAAAGTCACAAAACCCCTGTGGAGCCCCCGAAATAGACATCAGGCTGGGAGGGGCAGTCCCAGAATCCCCCAGGACTGATGGGGAGATGGTCATAAAAGGTCATCAGACAGACCTGGAATTAGCCATTTTAATTGTTAACAGTAAATTGTACACACCAACCATTATGCAAATTCTTTTTATGCACAGAAGTGCACACTTGCTGCATCTGCTGGAGTGAGTGAGAGGCTCCCTGCGGATGAAAGCCTCACTCCAACTCACTGCCACCAAGCCCAGGTTGAGTCGGGAGGAGAACTGCCCGTGGGTCTCCGAGACAGAAACTCTCTATGGGAGTAGAAGGCATCATCTTTCTCCCG